TATATATATATATATATATATATATATATATATATATATATATATATATATATATATATATAAGTGTGTAATGTGATGTAATTTGTGTGCGTTTTGTGATTGTAATTAATAAAAGTTTTTTTTGGTTTCCTGCTCAAGAACATATCCATCACTAATGGCTTTCTCTAATATATATGGAATTTGTAAGTTCAAAGTCGTAAGAGAGATATCAAGTAGGTCTCGAGTGGATAATAGATTTTTAAATAGAAATATGCCCATATCCAGTGACCTAGATCCTTGACCGTATGTGGTGGCAAAGTCACGACATTTGTATATTTTGTATAGCAATGTCCAATATTCATGTGTAGATATGCATTGTGTATCACAAATTACAATACTTCACCTTGATGCTAATGCACCCAAAACTCCAAATGTACCAAAATAATCTTCTAAACTCCAAAGGCACGTAGACACCACTTACCCTAAAACCCAAAATGATAAATTTTAATAAATGGGTCGTACTCTACAAGTATCAAAACAATAGTACAAGCTGTCTAAAACCATCTCTCCCTAAATGCTCAGAAAACATCATAATTAAGCAAACAAATGATGTCCAATCAATGTTCAAACTTCATACCGACAAGAGTCGTGGTAAACGCATACACATGTTATCATTTATGTGACTAATGTGTCATATCCTACACTTACCAGAACAATAGTCCAAGATGTCTAAAACCGTCTCTCCCCAAATGATTAGACAACATCTAACTTGATCAGCGAAGGATGCCCAGGGAATGCTCAAACTTCCCAACGGAAAGAGTTGTGGTAAACGCGTACATACGTTATCATCAGTGTGAATCTTTTGGAGTGAAATCATATTCTCTTCATGCATGGGCACAAGAAATGATTTTTGAATGTGAATATTTTATATCGTTAAGCTAAAAGCCAAATTTCCATCCAAATGAATCGTTATTTTGCTATAACAATATACCACCACTGAATCAAAGTCACTTAGAGGATGTCGCAACTACAAAGCTTCTGTCATTGATTTAACTATGGTGATGAACTCGGCCTTGGTAGTTGAGAAAGCAATAATGAATTACAACCTTAAACGCCAACAAATGGTGGTCCCATCAAAGTTAAACACATAACCGGAGGTTGACTAAAAACGATCTTAGTCACTAACATAGTTGGAGTTGCAGTAACCAATCATACTCTCGACCAACACCTATCAATAACCCCTTATTTAGTTCCATGCAAGTACCGTAATATGCCCTTCATGGCATTCCAATGTGTTTTACCCATTTGGACATGAACCGACTAAGAGGTTGTTTGGCAAAATCTGAATTTTTAAAGGGCTTTGGATTTTTAAGAGGTCAGAAAGGGCAGTGGGAGGGAAAAAGGAGGCGGTCATATGAATTAGAAAGACGTTCATCCTTTTTTATTCAGATACAACTCTTTCTCTTAAAAATTAAGAGATGACAATTAAGATGCTATCAAACTCTCTGAATCTAAAAAATAAAAAATGTGCCTCTTAACTGAAAAATTAAAAGACTACCAAACAACCCCTAAGACACTAACAGCTTGCAGCATTTCCAATCACATACAAACCATTTCCTGTATATTGTTCGAACTCCCAACCGCACTCCCATAAGATACCTTGCTCATATAGGTTGTATTCGTCTTAGAGTTGGGATAATCACTACCATAAAGCTTAACGTGCATCTACATGGGTATATTACATGCCTTTGAACCTTCTATTTCGAGCCGTTTCAAAATCTTCTTGATGTAACTCGACTGATTCGAAGATAAATTAACGGTTTCTATTTGGTTATTATGAAAAGCTATTAAAGGCGTCTTTTCTGATATTATTCATAATTTAATGACATGCAATCAAGATAAATGGACATTTGAATTAACATGATTCGGTTAACTTATGTCATCACAACCAATTGCTATATTCAAAGATAAATTAATGGTTTCTATTTGGTTATTATGAAAAGCTATTAAAGGCGTTTTTTATTATTCATAAGTTAATGACATGCAACAAAGATAAATGG